TTAAACCAATAAATAAATCCAGACAATACACCCCATGAAACCAAAAATGGTAAGACGCTTATTGGAACAAATTAACATTTTAGAAGCCAGATATACAAAGATGATTTTTTTGTTTTTTTCCTTTTTGTTCGCGCAGAAAAAGAATGATCTTTAGGTAAATTATGTTAATTTATAAGAAAATAACATGTGGTCAGCCCAGCCCAAAGAAAGACTTTCCATTCTTAAGTAATACATTGTTCTGAGGTGTAATCCATAGGAGTCATGTTTCCTGTTGTTTTCTCACTCTAAAAAGGCAATGACAAGTAGGACATGTATAAAAAGTACCTCTAAAGCATTATGGTATTGAAAGAAAAATTAACACCAAAATATAAGGAGCTAATGTATTGGAAATAGAACACATCTACCTCTATGCAAATGATAAAGTCCTGAACACTCGACTTAAACTGCAAACCCTGTGCGATAGCACCTTTGAACAAACCAAGGGCAGAGAGAAGAGCAATTGCTACACCTTGCCACCAAGTTAAAAAAACAATTGATTTAAATGTTAGAAACTTCGCTAATGGCTTTATATGTGCAAGTTCATCCTTTGTGGCAGCATAAAACTGAACCAGACAGTACAAAGCCCAAGATTGACTGAAATTCAAAACCACCGCAATATAGGGATACCTACAAAATAAAGAAAAAGGATGGAAATATTAGAGATCTCTTACCCATAATGCAGAATGAATCCAATTACTAATTTTGACACGTTCCAAAACAAGAATAGGATATGACAGATTCTTTTTTGGGAAATAAACAATATCTTGTAGTTTATAGCTGAAGTTAGACTTAATATGTGAATGAATACATATTTCAATATAGGTGTGTGCATGTGATACTTGATACTTGTTTTCTGAGCTTGCACTCTTAATCCATCACAGCAGCATATACATACAGAACAGTTTCTGAAAAAAAAAAAATATATAGATAACGTGTAGAAACAGGTTAAATTATTTCAAATTCTTTAAATGGGATAATATTCCCAAAAAAATACCGAAAGATCTGAGAGAAGGTGCAAGAATCAAAGTTCATCCAAATAGACTCTAACTTTTGCATAATAAAAGAACTTGTAGACTTAAGCACTTATGTAAAATAAATTTCTCCTCCCAAATAGTTGCAACCAAATTGTTGAATACAAAAATGCAATTGAAAAAACATGACGATCCACACAACAGAGGAAACACATATATGCACTTCACACAGAGCCAGTTAACCAGCCTTGACACAAGTAAACCACCTACCATCAACTTTTGCACTTGCGATGTTCACTACAACCAAATAAAGGAACAAAAAATTGCAATTATAGAACAAACCCAGCTTCTTGCATTCAGCAAATACTAAAAAAATTCAAGTCATTATGTCAGAACATTAAGTATCATAATACAAATTATTCAGCTGCTGACCATAACGTTCGAAATTAACAATATCAGAATAGCACCAGAGATTTAATTAACATAAATAAGATCACTAATTTATGAATGATTCAGTTCTTTAAATGTTATCTGATGAAAAACCAACTTAGCAATGTGCTGAGAAACACCTAATCTACGATAATCTTACCCGCATCCCCATTTAAACTCTCCTTCACAATACGTGCTGAAGGCTTCAAGAATTACAGCTAAAATAGCACTCATAGACTTGATTATCATCTGCCACGAGGAAAAATAAAAAGACACAGTTCATCTTTATTGCAGAGAAACAAGTAAGAAACAACAATTAGATGTCAAAAACAGCAGCGCAAGATAAATTTTATTTAGTAACAGCGAACATACATATTGTACAATACCAAATTTGACAACTTGGTAAAACCATCGACCAAGTCTCCATGGCTTTAAGATATAATTCATAGGAAAGGGGTGCTTAATGGTTCCTTTTTCAGAATTGTGCTCTAACAGAGGGGCCTTCATACTTGCCCGTCCTTGTCTTTCCATAAATTCGATTGTCCTTTCTTCTCCACCTTGTAAAATGAAAATAAAAATATATAAAAGAGAGGAAAACAACAAAAGAGAAGTCTATCAAGGAAGCAAAAAAAAAAAATTCTAATCTCAGCCAGAGGGCACAATGTTCAGGGAAAAGGTGCCTTTGCAATGATCTTTTTGGGCGAGAAAAATGTAATGATCATCATTGATTAAAAAAATAATAATAAGTCCAAACATAACTATCACTCTTCACGCTGATGTTGTCCGAGCCCTTGAAAACTCCCAAAGATGTGGGGAAAACTATGCATTAATGTGTCATACAAATGCATCGCATGCAATAAAGAACTTCACTTTACATAGCCCAAATCACAAAAAGTTACATAAACTCGAACTTTCTTAACCAACACTTCAACATAAAAACACTTTGGATAAGATCTTTTAGCATCTAACAACTTTGACAATAAATGAGCATTATGGCTATCTAATACATTCTGAGACTCTTGAGCAAAATCTTGGACAGTCAAGCACCACGGCCAAGTGACTGCTCCATGCAAATTTCAAGAGGCTAAAATTATATCTATAACTAGTAGGCCTCTGACCAAACAGCAGGGAGAAAGATAAACCAGATTATGGAAATATATCCACTCACTAGAAGAAAGAGATAATATTTTGTTCCAGCAGATACATACAAAATCTTCATTACTGATAATAACTCTCAAGAATACATACCTAAGCAGGCAACGAGGTATCTTCCAAAGCAGTACATAGCAAATGATTCATAGCAATCACGTAGTATCTCACAATCAACACTAATTGATGGATTCACCAGAGATACAAACTGATCCAAAATACCAAACGTTAACAGTAAGGGGAAAAAAATAATTTTTGGGAAATAATGAAAAATTCCTATTGAGGTTGACTCACTAGCATGCCAAACTTATCAGGGAACCGGGAAAATAAATACTCACCGATTCTATAGCATAGCAAGGAACCATGAGAATAACCCCAATCAAAAACTTTTGCTCCTGAGCAGAAAGGTCAAGAAGAAGAAAGAACCCAAAAGGCAAATAAATAAATAAATAAATAAAGAAAAGAAAAAGGTTAGCAAATTTACTACTAATCCGCACTGTATGAACCATGAAAAGCATAGCACTATTGCAACAAACCTCAGGATTCTTGTAGGCAGATAGATGCTCGAACAAGAGGTACATGGAAAGAGAAAGAGTGACAAGTAAAAAGAGACCGGCAACCAGGCTTGCCCATGTGGGAGTTGAGTAGGTGAGCAGGGAAACGAGATCGTAATACGCAGTGATCTTCATTAGCTACCCTAACATCAAGAAATTAATGCATAAGACGATCAATCAAATGGTAAAATTGGAGCCACGAGGCTCCAACAAACTGACTTCTTCTTCTTCTTCTTCTTCTTCTTCTTCTCTCTCGGCTTCTTGTGCGAGCTCAAGCTATTTCGACAATTCCATGATTGGTAAGGCCGCTAAATAAGAACTTAGAGCTTCAATCTGCCTTTTGAATGGACAATCGCAAAAATAATACATAAATTTTAATTAAAACGGATTGGGAAAATGGAGCTTGAATTTGACTATATCCAATTGGGCTTAGGGTTTGAGAAAGTTTGAAGAGTGATAGAGAGACGAGATGAAAATGAATTAAGGGAGGGAGGGAGGGAGGGAGTAGGATCGAGCATGGAAGGCGTTAAAATTTCTTTACTCTGTCCCGTTTAATGTGAGTTGTAACCGTGTTAAGAGGTTGACATTCTCTAATTTGTAAAATATGTAACTATTTTAAGATTAAATATAAAATAATTTTTGGAAAGAAAACATTATAGTTGACAAATTAAATTATCTTTTCCCAAATATTAAACATTTATTTATTTATTTATTTATTTTTTGAATTTCAAGAACGATTTCAGCTGTTTCTCCACTTAATAACTAACTACTAATTATTATCATCAAAATCCTCTCATTCTTCTCAGAATTTAGATAGGTCCCAATCCCCAGACTTTCTAATTGAATCAAATTTAATATTATTGGAATATATATCTGTAATGGGTGAAGAAGATTATTCCATATTCCACACCAGATTTGACGCGTACGTCTCCTTCACGTAAAGAAACAACGCAAAGAAACCCAAACCCTCCCCGCCTCCTCTCATCTCCCTTAAATACGACGTCGTTTAATACGCTCTTGTTTGGTTTTTTTCTGGTCTCTTTTATTATTATTATTATTATTATTGGTTTAGTTTGGAAACGGCTGCTGTTATTGTGACCATCAATTTATTTTATATCCCACTTAACTGCTTCCGGCTGCCCCTTGAATTTAAGGCCACAACGAAAACTTGCCAAATTTAATTTAAATTCTAATTTTATATAATAAAAATCTAACTTAATTTAAATTAGCTAATGTATAAAATATGTCATTATTAAAACTAAAAAACACAAATAAAAGTAATTTAATTAAGAATTTAGATGGAAGAAAAGAAAACCTAAACTAGAAAACAAATAAAAAAAAAACACATCAAATAGTTTTGTAAGAAGCATGTTAACAAGTAAATTTGTTACTATTCAAACTTAAAATTTATACAAGAGTGTTTGCTTGCCGGGATAATTCGAGCATATACTGAACTAAGAAAAACACAATCACAAATAATTAATGATGAAAACTCCATGGGAACCCAAAACTCTTCCCACAAGAAATTACTAACAAACAAGAAAGCCATCTTTTATAGCATCTGGTAGACATGCTTCAATACTATAACTTCATCTTATATTCTGCAGGAGATAAAAAAAAAAAAAAAAAAACAACAAATCTGACAAGAATGTTTGGAGCTGTTAAGAGTTTTTCTAAGTGAACAAAAATTGAATTTTTACAAATAAATTAATCTTTTAAAAATAATATATTACTAACTATATGATATTTAAAAGATAAATATTGAACAAATCTTCTAAAAAATAAACTCTCATTAAATATATAACATTTAAAAGATAAACATAAAGTAAGTTTAATTAAAAAAAATAAACCTTATTTGTACATATAAAATAATCCCTTAAAAATAAGATATCACTAACTACATAATCTCTTGAAAAATAAACTCTCCCTAACTACATATATTAAAAAGATAAATATAAATCAAATCTAATTAAAAAAATAAACTCTATTTGAATTCAAACTAATAAATTATAATTTTTACATTAATATTTAACACTCTCTCTTAAAGTAAAAATTAAAAGTACTAAATTTTTCTTTTGGAGCATATATTCCCAATATATCTTATTTAATTTTTATATTTTGATTCACTTCTTTTTTATTATTGATGTACTTCTCATCAATCTCCAGTTATTGAACATTTCTCACCAATCTCCAATTATTGATGTACTTTTTATCCAAATTTGTTATTAATTCTCTTGGAGCACCTCTCTCCGATTTTTAAAATGAAATTCTTCTTCTTGAGCAAAATTTGTTCGTTCATTCTTAAAACTATAATTTTTTTATATATGTTCAAATCTTTTACAATTAAAATGGTATAGTTTTACCCTTATGCCGACAATTTTTCTCATCGAGTTATCTTTCTTACATATTCTGTATGGCGAAAATTTTTCATTTTTTATGTTTTAATGGTGAAAGTTCTTGTAATAGTCCAGAACTTAAAAGGAAATAAATTATAAATTGAATGCAGAACCGAAATAATAGAGTTATTGTTTACATTCCCTACACAATAATTTAGAATACCCAATAGAGTTACGAGAATGACCCTTCTAAAAGAGCAAATGAAAAATAAAAAAAAAATTAAAAGTAAACAATTAGGTATCATAAGACGACCTTCGCTAATCTTTGAAGGGAGTCCGAGTTGTGAACTATTCATAATCTCCTTATTGATCGAGATCTAGATCTTAATTCTCTTGATCTGAAAAGGCTAATGTAAAGGTGAGCTACACTACCCTAGTAAAAATATCACATTACTCACCGATACAGAAATAAAGATTGGTAAAAATCATAAAAATAACTAATGGAGCTCTTAAATTAAGTAAATTC